GTAGAGTGCAAAGAATCGCATAAAATAAGGAAAGTTATTTGGATCCCAAAAAAAAAGAAGGATCCACAAGTATAAGACCTTTGGTCTAAGGGGCGATGTGAAAACTATCAGTAAGTGCAGTTAGAGATTTGAAACCCGAATAGTTAGAATGGGATATGAAAAAGAAAATCAGTTCGGTAATGAGGAAAAAAAATTGTATAATTACAACAAGGATTATGTCTAGCATGTGTAAGAAACACAAGGTGAGTAGAATGGTCACCGAGCTTAGTTATTGATGATAAAGTGATCACAGAAAAGCTGTAAAATCATGCATATTTATGTGTTATGAGGGTAGTGCCATTGCACGAGACTCTAAAATTTAGAGTACATGTCAAAGACTTAGGTCAGAATAATGCTATAATTGTTTTCAGGAAGTGCTTAAGAAGATAAAGTGGGAGAACTATAACTCATGATTGAGGTAGATAAGACAACTCTGGCACCGCTTAGCCTAGTTAGGAGTTCGATTTGCGTACTCCAGAGATAGTAGAGTTGTTGTCTAGAATATGACTTGTTCCCCCTTAGTAGCCGAAGAGAAGGAGAAACAACATGATGATCCCTACGTGTTGTAGCTGAAGAGGAGATTCACAAGTATAAAATGATGGCTTTTGAATAAGGGGGAGATGATGGTACTTTGAGGTACCAAGCCAGATTGTGTTTTCCAGACATAGTTGGATTTAAAAAGGGAAGATCATGTTAGAAGCCTATAGGTATTCTTTCCATTCAGGTTCCCCAAATATGCATCATGGCCAAGGAGATTTATTGGTTGAGCGACATGAAAAAAACGTCGCAGACTTTGCAGCCAGTTGTCTGAATTGTCAGCAAGTGAAAGTCGAGCAGCAGAAAGCCTAGTGTTTTATCACAGAATACATGTATTTTGAGTGGAGATGGTAAATATGGAGTTTATAAAAGGATTATCTTGCTCATCTTGAAAGCATGATTTGATGGGATGATTGTAAATCGACTTACCAAGTCAGCACACTTCTTGCCAGTAAAAACTACAGATTCAGTAGAAGATTATACCAAGTTGTACATTCAGGAAATCGTCTGACTGCATGGGACTCCGTGGTCCGTCATTTCGAACTGTGGTGCTAAGTTTACAATGAAACTTTAGAAGTTATTTCAGAAAGGATTAAGCACCGAGTGCCGTGTTACGTCCAGGACCAGGTTCGGGGCATGACAAAGCTTTGTCACGCCCCGAACCTGGGCCTGGACATAACACGGCACTCGGTGCCTGACTACATATGACCGAGCGAACCAACTGGCTGGCTGAATCAACATGTGGTATCATAACATACTGAATGCGGATGATAAAATATACTGAAAGTCTGGATACTATAAATCAAAGTGCGGAAACACTTATACAATTTGAAACATATTTGTAGCCAACATAGCTTAACATGAAAAGCCTGAGACTCTGTCTAACTCTTACTCTAGTCTATAAAGCCTCTAATGAAGTATTGAAAACACTGACTGTGTGTAAATACTGAAAGACTGTAAAGTAATGATAATGCCCCGAAAGAACTGGGGATCACCAAATAGCTGGTACGAGAATCCTAGCGCTCTGCATCGTCGACTTGTAAATCATTACCTGCATTGTGAGATGCAGGCCCCGGGCAAAAGGGACGTCAGTACATTTGAATTGTACTGGTATGTAAAGCAACTGAAAGAAAGAATTATAAATGCTGAAACTGAAACTAAGCTGATAACTGAAATGATGACTGTTGAAACTGAAACTGAAGTGAGAACTAGTAACTGAACTGATAACTACAAAGATAACTGATAACTGAAAAGATAACTGATAACTGATAACTGAACTGATAACTGAAAAGATAGCTGATAACTGAAAAGATAACTGATAACTGAAAACTAAACTGAATAAAGGAAGTAAGGATATGAATACTCCCTCTTCAGAATGATGAACAACCTGGTTATCTGAATATTAAATTGCGGCCTCAGGCCCAATATATATATGTGCACAACTGCGGCCTCGGGCCCAAGTATACGTATACATAACTGCGACCTCAGGTCCAAAATGTATAAATCATAAACTGCGGCCTCAGGCCCAAAGATGCATAAAGTATAAACTACGGCCTCAGGCCCAAAGATACATAAAGCATAAAGTGCGGCCTCAGGCCCAAAGATGGATAAAGCATAAATTGCAGCCTCAAGCCCAAATACAGGTGTTCAACATCCAGGAACTGAGAATCATACTGCAATACATGTTAGTGAAATACTGAATTATACTGAGTTACATGATACTGGAATACTGGATCACACTGAGTTACATAATACTGGAATACTGAATAGGACTAGACTGAGACATGTATTCTTGAACTGATTATGGACACTGAAACTTCAACTGTTTATGACATGCTGAGTAAGCTATACTAAGACTCAGGGAAATCAAACCCAAGTCTATATTGAATACGAACTGAGCTCACAACGTTCGGAATGAAAGTCATGAACGAGTTATGAAGCTAGAGAATAGAAGTTCTACAACTATTCAAGGAACTAGGCTTAACTATATTTCAGAGGTAATTGATAACGTGGTAAAAGAAACGTAATGTAGGGAGAATCATTAACATTCCCAAACATAGAGAGTTAGCCTCACATACCTTAACTTCCTGCTCTTGAGCATAATACGACATTCGCCAACCCTTTCAACTTCAATCTATATCAATACAAGTCAAAGGGATTCCATATTAGCAATAATACTCATGTTTTGGTCACTTAGGCATTTTCTCAAACACTTGGTGGCATAAAGCTTCATAGTCCTTATTAATGGTGTCTCTACACCCAATAACCCATTCTCTTGCTCCTAGATAAATTCTAAATTCTCAAATGGTTATAATCAACATCATTCTTTATCACCCATAAGGTAAACAACACTCTTAACCAATAATCAACAATCAACACCCTAAACCTATAATCGTTCATGCTTTTCTATCAAACTCATCAACTCATATCTCATGAACTAGAGTCTATTATCATTAATCCAATGATATAATCAATTAGAGGGTGAAGATATTACCTTCTTGTCGTTCAATCTCCTTGAATTCGAGTTCTAGGGTTCCTTCTCTCAACAACGATGTCCCAATCAAATATCTAATGATATGGAGGATGTACCCATGTTAATAAGATATTGGAAAATTGAAATTAACTTAGAATCACCATTAGAACTTACCTTGGGTGGTGGAAGGACCCTTAAGGAGTTAGGTTTTTGAGAGTTCCCCTTTCTAGAGCAAGTTTTTATGTTTTGGGGCTGTGGGGGACGAAATATAGCTTTAAAAAGACCCCCCCCCCCCACGAGCGCACCCGCGCACCTGGAGACCTTCCCGCGCTACTGACCGCGCTAAACGGCAGTAACATTGCCTCAAAATTAGCGCGGTCGCGCTATGGGCGCGCTACCGGGCGCGCATATCGCATACTGTTCTGTAAAACGCGTATAACATTTTGCACAGAGATCCGTTCGGGCTCCATAATATATCATTGGAAAGCTATTTCAAAGTCCTACAACTTTTATGCTTTGCGTGTTCCCAAATTCATTACACATTTTCACTAAAACCTACTGGAAAATAGACCTTCTGCAAACTTAGTTGATTTTGTCAAATCTTATGCACCTCACTTTCCATCTTGATTTTGAAACAACTATTTTCTCCCATAATCATCCCTCTAGGACTTCATATGTCTAAAATATCAAATTAATACCCATTTAACATATCCACACCTATTTCTAATGTACGAGGTGTTACAGATGACACCGACGAGATCCGGCCTAGTTGTGCCGGTGTGTGGGAACCACCAAACCCGTCTTCCAAGCCACTTAAGTCATCATCCAGCAACTCCAGGAAGATCTCTGACGACGGTACCAAGTTCTACATTTTTGTTTGGTTACACTCTGATTTTGTTATACTTTGTTTAAATCTGTTCTCTGTTCATAGTGTATTCTCTATTAGTTGTTATTGCTCTAGCCGTGGTTTACTTGTTTAGATCACTTGTTTGTTCATTCATTTATATTGCTTAGATCACTTGTATTTGCTTTTGGGCCTATTAGCATCGTTTAGGGTACTTAGATTTATTTGCTGCTACTACTTTCCTAGTACCATAGTTTTTCCCCACTTTTGTGCCTTTTAGTTCGGACTGTACTCTTGAAGTCATAGTTTGTTTTGATTATAGTGGCTATACTGAATGATGGTACGGTAAGGTCATGTCCTTAGGGAGGGAGGGGTCCTCATAGGGGTAGGAGGGGTAGGGGTAAGGGTGGTAATGGTGCTTCTAGGATGAGAGCTGGGCCTGGAACATAGGGACCTTGAAGGAAAAGTCTATAGAGTTAGCAAAGAATCTCTATATGAGAAAGATCAATATAGCTTGTCTCCAGGAGACAAGATGGGTGGGTGATAAGGCACAAGATGTAGACGGGTTTAACTATGGTACTTTGGACGCATGGGGGCAAGAACGAGATAGGGTTTTTGGTTGATAGGATCTCTGGGAGAAGTGTTAGAGGTTAGGAGGGTGAGATACAGGCTGATGAGCATTAAGCTAGTTGTTGAGAGTTTTACTTTAAACGTGATTAGTGCATACGCACCCAAGCGGGCTTAGACAAGGAGGTTAAAAGGCGCTTCTGGGAGAACTTGGATGAGGTTGTGCATGGAATCTTTCATACCGAGAAGCTTTTCATAGAAGAGGATTTCAATTGACACATTGGGGCGGTATATAGGGGTTACAATGACATGCATGGAGGCTTTAGTTTTGGGGTAAGGAATGGAGGAGGAACTTCGCAGCTGGATTTCGAAAGGCGTTTGATTTGGTGATAGCTAACTCAAGTTTCCCGAAGAAGGAGGAGCACTTTTTTACTTTTCATATTTCGACAGCTAAGACCTAGATGTATCTTCAGAAGATCTGATAAAAGTTTGTGTGCGGACTACAAGGTCATCCCGAGTGAGAACATCAGGACCCTGGTCATGGATTTGGAGATTATGTGGAAGCGAAGAAATAGGGTTGCGCATGGTCTACCTAGGATCAAGTGGGGAGCTTTGACTAAAGACAGAGGCCCGAAGTTGGGGGATAAGTTTTTGGCTATGGAGGCATGGAGGAGCAGTGGGGACGTGAGTGGTATGTGGACCGTAACTTTGAATTGCATTAGGGAGGTTGCTAGGGAGGTATTGGGGGTCTCGAAGGGCCCCATCTAGTGGTCACAAAAGGGACTGGTGGTGGAGCACTGAGGTCCAAGGTAAAGTGGAAGTCAAGAAAGCGGCATATTTGAAGCTTTTGGAGAGTAGGGTCGAGGAGGAGAAGAGGACGGATAGGGAGCTGTATAAGGTGGCTACGAAGGAAGCGAATTTAGCAGTAACAGCGGCTAAGACTGCTACATTTGAACGCTTGTATGAAGAACTTGTAGGAAAGGGAAAGGATAAGAAGCTTTACAAGCTAGCCAAGGTACGTGAAAGGAAGACCCACTATCTGGACCATTTGAAATGAATCAAGGACGAGGAAGGTAGAGTGTTGTTGGATAAGGCACTTATTTGTCGGAGATGACAGACTTACTTCCGTAAACTCTTGAACGAAGAGGGGGATAGGAACATTGTGTTGAGTGACTTAGAACTCTCTAAGAGTCATCGGGACTTTGGGTATTGTAGACGTATAAAACTTGAGGAGGTAGAGGGGGTTATGCGTAAGATGAGCAAGGGGAAGAGCGACCAGACAAACGAAATCCCGGTGGCATTTTGGAAAAGCGTGGGTAGGGCGGACTTGGAATGGCTAACTGGGCTGTTCAATATTATTTTTAGGACGAAAATGATGCCCGAGGAATAGAGATGCAGTACAATGATCTTGTTGTATAATAACAAGGGTTATATCCAAAATTGCAACAACTATCGGGATATCAAGCTACTGAGCCATACTATGAAAGTATGGAAGTGGGTGAGAAGGATTGTGTCTATTTCAGAGAACCAATTCAACTACAGAAGTTATTCACCTTGTTAGGAGGTTGATGGAGTAGTATGGGAAGAGGAAGCGAGATTTACATGTGGTGTTCATCGACTTACAGAAGGCTTACAATAAAGTGTCGATGGAGGTATTGTGAAGATGTTTGGAGATTAGAGGTGTTACTATTGCATACATTCGGACTATTAAAGACATGTATGATGGAGCTAAGACTCAGATGAGGACAGTGGGAGAGGACTTTAAATACTTCCCGATTGTGATGGGGTTGCACCAGGGGTCAGGCCTTAGCCCATTTCTGTTTGCCCTGCAATCAACGTGCTGACGCGACACATTGAAGGGGAGGTGTCGTGGTGCATGTTATTTGTAGATGACATTGTACTGATTGACGAGATGTGAGGTATTTTTAACGAGAGGATAGAGGTTTGGAGGTAGACCTTGGAGTCTAAAGGTTTCAAGTTGAGCAAGACAAAAACAGAATACTTGGAGTGCAAGTTTAGTGGCGCGACTTTGGAAGTGGATAAACATGTGAGGCTTGATTCACCTCGGAGAGAAATTTTCAAGTACCTTGGGTCTTTTATACAAGGGAATGGGAAAATCAATGAGGATGTCATACACTGTATTGGGGCAGGATGAATGAAATGGAGGCTTGCTTTCGGTGTTAGAGGGCTAACGGAGTGGTAGAGGCAGGACGAAGAAGTATTGGAGAGAGGTGATTAGGCAAGATATGGCGTTGCTCCAACTGACTTAGGACGTGACCATGGATAGAAAGGTATGGAGGTTGAGAGTAAAGGCAGAGGGTTAGGTAGACGAGTGTTGTCCTTGTTTGTAACAGTAGCTTTGATACATCACTTAGTGTCCTTCGTGTATTTTCTTTTCCCTAGATTTCTGTTATTACTTGTTGTTGCCTTTGATTCAGTTTTCTAATTGTACTACTTACTGTTAGTTTTGTATTTTTGCTTCGGTTGTTACATTGGTTTACTTGTTATTGTCTCTCCCCTTTCTCTTTCCTGAGCCGAGGGTCTATCGAAAATAGTCTCTCTGCCTTTTTAAAGGTAGGGGTAAGGTCTGCGCATGGGCGAAGCCACACTGTACTCTGCTTAGGGTGGTCAATTGGACCACCCTTTGTCGGAAAATTACATTGCGTATATAGGTAAAATATTAGGTTTTGGAGATAAATAACATATATTGAACACCCTTTCTCGGAATCGTTTTTTACTTATTTCAAGTTTGAACACCCTTGAGGAAATTTCTGGCTTCGCCACTGGGTCTGCTACACTCTACTCTCTCCAGACCCCACTTGTGAGACTACACTGGGTATGTTGTTGTTTTTGTTGTTATTTTTGTTGTTGTATTTGTTTTACCTTTCTACGATGACGTTCTCTTAATTCTGGGTAAGAAGCTCTAGATATGCAAATATCTTGTTTATCTGGAACTTTTGAGGAAGGGAAAAATTGAAAAATAAGAGAGAAGATTATATGGTAAAGGCTTGAGAATACATAGAGATTTGAAAAACGAACAATGCATTAGGGAGATAAAGAAAAATTGTTACAGAACATGGCATTTTTGCGATCCATTATGCGACCGCAGAACTACTCCGCGGGCTGCAGATCCGCCGCAGAGTGAAGCAAAAAAATAGCCAATTTTTGGAGGTCGTTTTGTGGTCAAATATGCGATCACATAATCATTTCGCAGGCCGTGTTTCTGTCGCAGAGTTATTACGAAGAATTTTGTTGGGTGATTATGCAGTCCATTGTGCAGCTATATAACTGGTATGCGGGCTGCAGACCTGACCAGGACAACCAAGTTTTTGGGACCGTTGATTTGCGGTGCCTCTGCGATTGCAGAGTTGAGTCCGGAGGGTCCATTTTCTGCCACTGGGGCTCATTTAGAAGGCAAAAATCTAGTGTTTAGAGAGAGGGGAAGGGAGCTAGAGAGAGGAGGAAGGGCACCCAACATCTCCATACAACAAATCCTTGCTCAAGCCTTGAAATTCAACAAGGAAGGGTCATAAGGTCTTCATTTAGGAGGTAAGATTCTCCCCCCTAGCCCTTAATTTTGGGATTGGACTGAAAGTAGGTAATGGGAAGAGTGATTCTTGGGTGTAGGTGTCGTTCCTTTTGCATGCATGTACTACCAAGGGTTGTGAGGACGTTGTTGAACTCAAGTGGGTGAACATTGGGTTGTAGGATGACAGAATCCACCATAGAAGAACATTGGATTTATATTGCACACCTAGTGCTTGATAGAATGCTTAAATGAGCTGAGCCAATGAATATCTTCCTAATTTTGGGACACTTTTGGTTATGTTTCTAAATAGATTGAAGTTGCTAGGATTTCCGGAACATTATGGTAATAAAGAAAAGCTCAAAGCGAGGTATGTTGGCCAAACTCCTCTTGTAAAATCGAATTCCATTATGTCCTCGTAAGTTGCGATTATGATTGGCTCAATTTTTTATTTCTCATGGTTTGAGTCCTTCCTAATAATTTTGATTATTCTAAAATAAGTGTTGTGTTGAAAGATGTATGTACTCAAAATGTGTTCCAAATGTTCCCATCATATCATGATTCCCTTCCCTCTGAGAATGTAACCTAGTATGACCAATGCATAAAAGGTGTTGTGACTTAAAAATTATGTTTCAATTGCAAGTTATTATGCCTAATTGTGGAAGAGAAACTCAATGTGATTAAAACTCTTATTGCTCATATATACACTTAAAGTCTTGATTAGAAATCCCTTATTGTTGATAATCCATGATGATGCTTAAAAGTTATAGGCGTGAGTATGAAATATGAAATACGACCGACGTGCCAAGAACGAAATTACACTTATGGCTACTAGTGACAGTGAGAAAAGACGTGTCTTAGATTATGAAATGAACTGTGAATCCTTTATATAATAAATGTTTTGGGAGTATTGTTTAGTCACCAAAGAAGGGTAGGTTAAAATAAGCCTATCCCCGAAACTACACGTGCCGATGTAGGAGTGGTTCAGAGGTAAAATCCCCGTGTTGATGTGATGAGATTGTTTTTCCTGTATAGGATGAGATGATTGCTAGCGGAAAGTGACGTCGACTCACACGACATCGTGGTGAGATGGCTTATCCGATAGGGCTGAGATTGGACCCCATGCCGCACACATGGTGGTGGTATGATTGGATGTCTCTGATGAGATGGCTTAGCCGATCGGGCCGAGATCGGACTCCGTGCTAAAAACACGGTGGTGCATCGGTAATAAAGATCTCTCAAACTTAAAAATATTGAAAGGTACTTGAAACTTACCTTTCTCTTAATTTGACACTTTGATATTGTTTGAGGTTCTCATTGATTCCTGCTTCTTTCTCATTGTAATGTTACTCATTCTATTGAGAGGGTGCTTAGTCTTACATACTAGTACTATTCCATATTTACTAACGCCCCTTTTGTCGGGGGTGCTGCATCTTTAGTGGATGCAGGTCGTTCCATAGCAGGTGGCGTCGATCCGTGATAGCAGCACACCCTCTCCTCAGCTGACTTGGTGAGCCTTACTTTATTTTGGGGTCTTGTATCTTTTGACCTCTATGTATAGTCTTTTGGAGGTATAGCAGGAGTCTTGTTGCCGGCACCATTATACTCCTCTTTTATATCTATTAGAGGCTCCGTAGACGTAGTGTGGGTTGTATCTTGTTTTGAGAAAGTTGAGCTAAAGCTGTTATATTTGTATCACACGTTTCCTCTCCTAAACTATGAATGTGTAATGTAATATTTTGGGAACTCTTGATGGAAGTTCTAATGGAAATGAAATTGGTGTTGTTCACGTAATCTTCTCATTGTCTAATTAATAGAATACGTCTTCAATTTATTGCAGGTAATGTCGGGTAGATAGCATATAGTAGGCCATCTTGACAAGGGATCTCGGTTGAGCGCCGATCACGCGCCCCGAGGTCGAGGCATGACAAACGCAGAGGTAGAGGCAGGCCGAAGAAGTATTGGAGAGAGGTGATCAGGCAAGATATAGCGTTGCTCCAGCTGACTGAGGGCATGACCATGTATTGGAAGGTGTGGAGGTTGAGAGTAACGGTAGAGGGTTAGGTAACTGAGTGTTGTCCTTGTTTGTAACAGTAGCGTTGATACATCACTTAGTGTCCTTCGTGTATTTTCTTATCCCTAGATTTCTGTTATTACTTGTTGCTGCATTTGTTTCGGTTTTTTGATTGTATTACTTAGTGTTAACATTATATTTTCGCTTCGGTTGTTACATTGGTTTGCTTGTTATTGTCCCTCCCTTTTCTCCTTCCTGAGCCGAGGGTCTACCGGAAACAACCTCTCTGCCTTTTTAACGGCAGGGGTAAGGTCTGCGTATACTCTACCCTCTCCAGATCCCACTTGTGAGACTACACTGGGTTTATTGTTGTTTTTGTTTTTGTTTTTGTATTTGCTTTGCCTTTCTATGATGATGTTCTCTTAATTCCGGGTGAGAAGCTCTAGATATCAAAATATCGTGTTTATCATAAGTTCCTTACCCTAAACAAGACACTGCTTCTAGGGCGAAGGGTATGAGTCGAACAGCAACTACTCTGTATTGTGCAATATGATTATTCCTTTGATGCATCTTTGGATCTAAAACCTTCTTCTTCTTCTTTTTTAACAAATATGAAAATGGGAATTTATTTAAATGAATCCTAAGAAGTGAATTGATTAGTAATTCGCCAGTAGAGCTGTCATCTTGGATTTGACATTCGACTGTACTAGACCCTTCCTTCCCGGCAGTGGTTGCAGAACGGATAAAAGAAAATAATTATCTGTCCATATTATCAATTTAAAAGTGAGTTGGATAATAAATTTTTTAAAAATGAATAAAATATGAATAAGAACTATATTATTCACTTAGA